GCAGGAGAACCCGCGGCAGTCGATTCCGCGCCGCTCACAAAAACTGGGCCTCTCGCAGGCTTCAGCTTGGCGAATTCTGCGTCGAGACTTGGGTCTGCATTCACACAAGATCCAATTGACCCAGGAGCTCAAGCTTAACGATCGCCGTGTGTTCGCTGATTGGGTTTTGAAGCAGTTAGAAACAGGCCCAGATTTTGCCCGAAAAATCTTCTTCAACGACGAGGCCCATTTCTGGATGAACGGGTATGTGAACAAGCAGAATTGTCGAATTTGGGACAAGGCCAATCTACACGAGGTCCACCAAGTTGCAATGCATCCCCAGAAAGTCACTGTTTGGTGTGCATTACGGTAGGATTACGTCTTTAGGCAACATATTGGGGGTGCAATTTCAAAAAACCAAAATCAACCGCGTTACGAAAAGTGGTCAGGTTTTGACCACTTGTAACTCTGGCAATAGCTGATGAATTTTAATTCTAAATAAGCCAATCGATTGGAAATTTTTTCTACAAATATGAGCACTTAATAAATTTTCAATATGTCACTATTGAAAATTACACATATGTCCAACTGTTGCAATTATAATGAAAATTATCACCTGAAAAAGCGCCGGAAAAAAACCGGTCAGGCTTCATCAGCAGCAGCATCAGCAGCAGCAGCGACGCGTGGCGTTGAACATTGTTTTCTAGTACACAACGAAAGGCTTCCCGCAAGCAGCGAGCTGCAGCCCACATGTGCGTCCATTCACCGAAGAAGGAGGAAGAAGCCGCACCGCTACTGATTCACTTGCTCGTCGTGAGTTGCTGAGGACCATCTATGCAAAGCGCGTCACCCTCGTTTCAAACAGTTGAATACCCTAATAGCTGAGTATCACGACAAAACGGTTCTTTTCAGGACCACCATAAATTACTGTTGTTCTCTATTGAATAAACCGAAAGTTCTGAAAAAGTGGCTTCCGTAACACCACCACCGATATTGACCAGGTTATCCTATGTCAAAACTACGGTCGTGTCTTAGATACAACCTCTTACTTTTTCTTGTGGGGTTATGTTAAGTCGCAGGTCTATGCCAATAAGCCGCAAACCATTGATCCCTTCAAAAAGCCAACATTACTTAAGCCATAAACGAGATTCAGCCCCGATCTGTACGCCAGAGTCATGGAAAATTGGACTTCTCGGATGCCCGCCACCAAGCGAAGCCAAGGCGGCTATTTGAACGATGTCATATTTGTGTGGCATGTGTAGTGTATATGTGGTGTGTGATGGCATGAGTAAATTTGCAAAACAAGCATCGCATAATAAACCTGGCCACATCCTTACAACTGCACGGGATAGCAAGGAAAATTAGTCCAACATCTACTTAAGAAGGTGCAGGGAACCCATACTACCTTCATATATGTCACGGGAGGGAGCATTTGTGTAAGTAAGAAATGGTATAAGTTTAGGAATCTCTATTCGGCAATATATAGTAAAGATTATGTGCAAATGGAAATATAAATAAATAAATACAAAAGGAAAGATCTCACCAAAATTATATTCATGTCATTCCATGTGTTCCAAGGTGTTTCATCCAACACGCGTTTAATTTTTATACCGGCGCTTCGAAGCCATGCACCATTCAGAATAATCGCCCTTCTTTTCTAGTCAAATCTAGCAATTTTTAGCGGCCATCTTGTTAAAAATAGTGTCAAATACCATAAAATATGGGTTTTTCAGAACGAAGACAGTAGGGCCCAAATATCGTTGGAGTCCAAGATGACGGACATCGGTTTCAGAAAATGTGTCAAATACCATACAATATGGGTTTATAGGAACGAGGACGACGCATAGAGGCCATAAATAGGTGTCGGTCGCCATTTTTTAATCCAAGATGACGACCATATGATTCAGAAAAAGTTTCAAATACCACACAGCTAAAAAAATAAGTGTAAATTTCCATTACTATGATGGAAATGGAGCGGCATATATCATACAAGTTTACATTATATATCGTGTAAATTCATGAAACATGTCCTGTAATATTCCATAATTTGTATGCAACTCTCCACCCCTATAATAAGAGTATCTTCGAACGGGGATGACGCGTTGAGGCCCAAAATCGATGTCCGATGCCATTTGGAAATTCAAGAAAGCGGCCATCGGATTCAGAATAAGTGTCAAATACCCTACCATATAGGTATTTCCGGAGAAAGGAGGACATGTACATACTGAAAATCGATGACAAATGCCATTTTTAAATCCAATATGGCAGCCATCAGGTTCAGAATATAGTATTTGATACTTCTTTTCAACCCAATGGCTGCCATATTGGATCCCAAAATAACGTCGAACATAATTTTTCTACATCTACCCGTTGTCCCTGTTCCGATAAATCCATATTTTAGGGTATTTGACACTTTTTCTTAATCCCATGGCCGCCATATTGGATTATAAAATGGGATCCGAGATATATGCTTGGCCTCTATGCGAAGCTGTCCAAAGCAGTCGGCTTTGCGAACGACGTCGTCTTAACGGTAGTAGGCGAGACGCTGGAAAAGGTGGAAATGTTGACGATCGACACGATTGATGACTGGATCCAAGGAGAAAAGCTGAGAAAATCCACCACAAAACTTAAGTTTTATTGGTCAGTAGTAACTGATGCAGCGGACGGAAATCACCGTCGCTAGCTAACTCGGCTAGCTACGCGCCGAAAGCACTGCTGTTGCTGCTGCTGATGCAGTGGACGGAAATCACCGTCGGAGGGCTTGCTATAACCTCGATGCGCGTGCTGAAATACCTGAGAGTGATGATCGACGACCGACTAAACATGAACAGGTTGCTAAAAGGTAACGAAGGCCATCACGACTCGCTAGCTCGCTAGCTAACTCGGCTAGCTACGCGCCGAAAGCACTGCTGTTGCTGCTACTGATGCCGACAACTGGACACCACCACACACGATGGTTGGAACTGATTCCGATCATTGGTTGAGGGCAGTCTTGATAGCTAGCTGCTTGCGGGGAGCCTTTATTTGTGTATCGGAGAACATCACCACTCACCACGAGGTGATTGAATAAACACCGTTTAATGAGACCGGGATGGAAATCAACTTTTAAATCTGTGTTAGAGAAATCGATTTTCACATGCAATCGGTGATAATTTTAATTGTGATAGCAACAGTTTCACACTCGTGCAAATTTTCAATAGTGAGTTTTTAAAAAACGAATAAATTTTAAATTTAACAGATGCGTAGGAATATTTCTTATCGATTGGTGATAAAATTATTGAAATTGGTCCAGGGGCAGCTGAGTTATTAACGTTCAAAATCTTTCATAATTTTATTACATGTTCGATTTTAGGTTTTCATAAAGTATACCTCCATATAAAAATTACAGACGTAGTCCTACGTCAAAAGGCCATGCAGTGGTATGCCGCGAACAACGTGCAGGTGGTGTCCAAGGACAAGAACCCTCCGAACACGTCAGAGCTCCGCCTATTTGAAAAATATTGAGCAATCGTCAAGCGGAAGCTGATTAAGACCCAAACAACTGTTGGAAGCGAGAAGCAGTTTAATACCCCGGTACACATTACAGCGTATATCACGTGATATACGCTGTCTTGCAATGAGCACTCATACATCTAGTTTTCACTGGAAATCCTATGTATGAGTGCTCATTGCAAGACAGCCTATATTACGTGATATAGGCTGTAATGTGAGCGGGGTATAAGGTAAACTGGCGTTCTACGGCGAACAAAGTGGTCGAGGCGGCTGTATAGAATCTGGTGGCAGGAGTTAAACCAATTGCCCAGCAATTCGGATTCGGTCAACCGAAAGCTTAGCTGAATATTTTTCTTTAGTTTATGCTATAAGTTCAATTAAAAAGAAAAATAATTTGATTTTTTAATATAAAAATAATTATTTTACACGCATTTTTGTTTGCCCAAATTTTGATCGTAACCCCTTTTACATTATCAATGTCAACGTAGTATTTTTGTAGCAAGAGGAAGTGATTTTTTTTTCCTTGGATTTGTTTTCCGTCGATCTTGTTTTCCGTGCTGAGCACCAATGCTACCGACGCCAGGAAGGCAGCTCCCACACCTGGACCCTATCTATCGACCCATCAACTCATGAACCGGGGACCAACGGCTTTACTTCCCTTCCGAAGGAAGGCGTGATCAGAGATGTTATGCCTCAGAACATCCCGGCGGCGCCGACTGGGATTGTACCCAGGCCTGCTGGGGTGAGAGGTAATCACGATTACCACTACACCACCGGCGCCGCTAGAGGAAGTGATGAAAGTTCTGAATGGATCTTTGAAGATGGAGAGGTTTTGACAGAACATCACACAGTATAAGGGGCTGTTCATAAACTACGTAGACCGATTTTGATAGGTTTCAGACCCCATATAAAACCTAAAGGCTTTCCCGATGCAGTCCCCTTTATAGAAGCCTTCTACAGAGCCCATGCACTTTGTCAGTGCTTGTACTGTAACAAAGGATTTGTAAAGATCCATCTTAAATACTAATGTGAAAGATTTGGAATCATGGTTAGTGGATGATAACATCTGAGAGCAGGTTCAAAACCAGCAACGTGATACGATTGATAATTGTTAGGGTACGGCAGGGGGGGGGGGGCGTTTGCTGGTGACATTTTTATACATTCGTTTTAAAGTATTGGAACAAAAATGTTGAGAATTAACTACTTTTATGTCAAACTTTTCCTTTTTAGGCATAAAAGTGTCTAAAAGTACAGAATTTCTGTTAGGGGGTGCTTGTAAAAATGGCAGGATTAAAATAAATCAAATTTTCAATTAAACACCAGTGCCATCCTAGGAAACTATTTCCGCTAATTTAATGAAAAATCACGCATCCCAATTCAAACATTAACGGTGCGTCACTGGCTCTATGGGAATCAAATGGGCTAGGGCTGAAACTGTGCTTCACACGAAATGCACATGCATACCAAACTAAATGTTTAACAACATAATTAAAAGTAATAAACATCCTGTCAAGAAATGCTCCACCTACCTTTCATCCTTGTCGTACTTCGGGAACGTCACGTGCATCAGCTCCAGCACCGATATATCCCGCTGCGGTTCGGCGGAAATACCCTGGGCACGCTGTCTCTGCACTCCACCATGGGCGCCCATTTTGCGCCCACCGGGCGATACCCCGCCGGCACCGCCACTGGATCGGAACACACTCTGGAACTTGTCCAGGTTGGTCCGAAGCTCTGCCACTTCGTCATGTTTGTGCCGTAAGCAATCCTCCAACTCGCGGATCCGGATGTCTCGGGCCTGTATCACCTTCAGCAGTTCCTGCTCCCGAGGCGTCAGGTTCAAACTGGTCGGATCGTTAATGTAGAGGTTCTGCTGAAGGTCACCCTGCAACATTACGATCTGTTTGACACTGTTGACGGTGGAGGCATCGAGATTATTGTTGATGGTATCATTCTGATGTTGGTTGGCTGTTTGGAGTTGTTGTGGTTGTTGAATAATGGACGACGCGCCTAGATCACCACTGTTTTCGTTCATCGTGCCAGCGACGATGGTTGACGCGACGAGTTGCAATGACGGAACAACTAGATCTTTTCCCGCGGAACCGTGAAAAGCTACTGACGACGACAAAGGCGACGACGACGACAGAAAAGACGCACCCGACGATGGAAGCGGTTGGGTTTGGGTTTGGGTTTGGGAAGAGGTTTGGGACTGGGTCTGGGACTGGGGGGCTACCGGCGGAGTACCGAAAGCGAGACCGAGTCCGTTCGTCGGCGCCGCGAAGTTCGCGTACTTCAGCAAACGCACGAGATGCTGAGTATCGAGTGCGGTTGCGCCGCACAGGACCGTCTGCGTCTCCTGCTCAACGGCCGCCGGTCGCCGTGACGCGAAGCACAGCCCGTCAAAACACACGCGCATCCACACTATTTTGCCTGGTTCGAACCCGTGGTGTCATAAAAATAAAATTATCTGGAAGTAGACAGAGAAAAAAATATATTAACCAAGGAAGTGTGGCACAGTCATAAAGCATTTGGGCCAGACCAGAACCAGCGCTCGCTGGAATTAGAATCGGAAACATCAATTATTTTCTGAGAGCTCCCCGATTATTCGCCAAAGTGTGCTGCTCCGTCACACGCGATGAGTAAACCCCGAAAGGAGAATGTTTTGAGATGCTCTTTCTTCGCCATGTGCATGATGAGGTTCGACGGGTGGGGGGTGTTGATATGCCGATAGAAGAAGAAATGTTTTGCAATTTACTTTAAGACTTTATACGTTTTTGATGACCTGCTTTTGAGGTGCGATATTCTGTTCTGCGGTGGCAGTGTGCCGGCGATGGAACTTTTCTCAAGAAAATCTAATAAGTGATCCGGATCCAAACATGTGCCTTCTTAAAGATTGCGAATATATGGCAAGGAATTTGCAGCTGTCCTACCAGATTTCCGATTGCCAACACAAATTAGGAATACATCACCGAAGCGTTCAATGTCACTGCCTGCCCGGTGACATCGTCTGAATTCACAATGTCACGCACGAACTGCGGATTTCTTATCATCTTGCCACGTCTGAGTCTTGTTCCATTTTCGATTCTATTTCGGTGTTCTTATTTATTTGTCAAAAATACGACCCACCAGCTGACTGCGTAACTATGCGATATTTTGTTTGCAATGTATTCCGCGTGCTGCTGCAGCAGCAGCAGCAGTATGACGAGTACAAACAACATCAAATGTTGGCTTCTGAAATGTGTCCATCAAAACAGTTTTAATCTTTTGTTGAACTGTGAAGTTTGAAAGCGTAACGAAAATAAATACATGGTGGTCTTATGGTTACGGCTTGAAATAAAACACCCCATGATCGCCGTTGCCGTTCCTGTGGTTGAAATGCGATTTTAATTACTATATATATAGTATTTTGTACATGTGGGAGGAGTTCTTTTATCGCGGATTCCCTTTAGCAAGTCCGGCCTATTATAAACAAAAAAAATGCTAGGAGCATATTCTTATGATGCATGAACAAAATTTCAAACCGGCAATACTGTACCAACTTAGACTGGTTAGAACCGGGAAGACGGCACGTGCTTTAAGGCACAACATTTTGTATCAGTCGATTTGACATATAACTACGTCATAATCGAAGGTACCATTCCACCGTAGAAGCGTCATGGAAGGTTTTAAACGTTATAACATTTTTTCCATGATTTTTTTTTTGTCGATCTTATTTTCCGTACTGATTACCAATGCTATCGACGCCAGGGAGGCAGCTCCCACACCTTAACCCTACCTATCGACAAATCAACTCATGAACCGGGGACCAACGGCCTTACTTAGCTACTTGGATTGAACCCAGGCCCTTTGGAGTGAGTGGCAGTGACGCTTACCACTACACCACCGGCACCGCTAAACGTTATAACTTGGCCGGCCATTGATATTGTGCCATCTGATTCAGATTTGTTGTAACATCAGGTTAGAAGTGTCTAAAATGTATTTTTTCGCCCATTTGCCCCCATTGTGCAATGGCTGCAGTCTCATCTAAATACACTGAGGACTTTTTTTACGCGTTTTTTTCACAAGATTTTTGTTTACACGGTTTTTTTTACACGGTTAGTGCCGCTGAGTCGCGAATTACACGGTACGTTTTTATCGATTTCTCGACAACGATACAACGCTTTGACTTGATTCCAATCATATTTTCCATTTCAAGCTATAGGTAATCGCATGGCATTTTTTAGCGTAGAGAGTATTCAAAAAAATATTATACTTTTTTCAAAAAATCCTTGCATGAAAATGATTGATCTGATCAGGTAATTACATATTATTTGAGGAAAAATACACTGAAAGAAAAAATCATGGTAAAAAAACATAACACATTGATTTTCTCAAAACATTCCCCCTTCGATGTTTATAATTCTTTTTTGAAGAATGCTGAAGTAATGCAATTAAATATGGTAAAGAGTGTAAGTCCAGCCGTTCTATAGTTAATACGAATAAAAAAAACTGATTATGAATTTTAAACATTTTAGACCATTTTCAAATGTTAGTCGCGATGTCCAGCAACGAAATGTGTTTTTCATGAGTGTTTTTTTAAATAACGAACAATTCATTCTCGGTTATGGTGGCTGTCAGGCTTAATCAGATCAATCATTTTCATATCATGATTTTTTGAAAAAATATAATCCAATTTTTGAATACGCTTTTTTCAAAAGTTACTCAGAAGAGAGAGAAAAAAAAAACGTCAAAATGAAAAATGAAACCATTAGTAATCGCGAACTTATGAGTAATCCCAAGTAACAATCTAAATGCTTGGAAGATTTATTCTTATTTTATCATTGTTTTATCATAGCATCCCTTCCAGCCTGTGGTTGTATTACGGTTTTGTGTGCTTGTCATAAAATCAGGCCGTCAAGTCGTCTATAAAACTGTTTTATGACTACTAAATTAAAACTCAGACTTCATAGTTTTAACGGTAGCTGTAAGGTGGTTCTGCATCACTACTTATAACTGAAGAATAAAACCAAAACAAAACATACAATTATGTTTTATGGTACACTTTTTATGACCGATATAAAACTTGAAGCAGTCTTAGACCTTCATTAAAGCTTCATTACAACTATCATCTTTATCAGAGGCCTAAGATTCACAGATAAGAAATATACTGCTACAACAAAAAATACTCTGAAATTTTTTGTCATTATAAAAAACAAATCTATTCAGATATATGCAATGAAAACCCCTTCAGTGCTTCTGAACACGATGAAGATGAGACGATCGACAATATGAAACTCCTGGAGGAACTACAGTTATACGATCCCTACATAAGGCACAGTGCGGTGAAGGAGCTCTTAAAAATATTGAACAAGCGGCTTTTCGATACACTTCCGAAAGATCCACGAACCCTTCTTAAAGCAACGCCGACAGTTTCACTAAATCAGTTTGGAGATGGCCAGTATTGACATCACGGCTTTTCAGCTTGTATTGAAAAAGCTTTTAGTGGATCCAATAAGCATTTCTTACATCTTGATTACAAGCGAAAATAGGAGGATCGCTTGGAATGTTGACTTTTTGACAGGTGGTCATGGTTTTTGATTTGTTTTGATTCGCTATACCGAATAAAACCAGCAAGCTAGTTATATAGCTTAAATATAACTTAACGCTCTCAATTTGGACTACGAAATGCTAAGATACAACCATTAGGTTTATGTTATGCTATAGAATTCCAATCTAGGAGAATATGTTATATTGAGGTATTTTTAAGGAGTAGCAAGTTATAACGAAAAAAAATGTCGCCGTATGAACAAATTTCACACAGTATGAATAATTACGCTTTAATTGATAGGCAATAAAACACTTTCATACATCTATGTATAATTAAATAATATGTGACTGGTTATTGCTCAACAGTAGTAACAGTTTTGTACTAAATAGATAATCTTTGAATGACTCTTTAATGCATGGTGCTAATGAAGACAAATTAAAAATATCCCTTTATTTTAGTATTCATATGGCGCACTAAATTTATGCTCCTATTTGGTATAATAATCACCATAAATATTGCACGGCATGCTGTGAAGCATATACAGATTGGTTTAAAATTATAATAAAGTCGTCTTATTTTCAATGTACAATAATATCAGCCATTATTACCAACTGACAAGGATCATGATTTCACATCAAACATCGAAAGAATAAAACCACAATAAAATATTTCTCAATATTAACTATCATCCAAAAGCCCCAACTTAAAACCTTCAAAGTTGTCAAAATGTTTTGCATATCAGGCAGAACATTTGATAACGGCACAAAAGCATTTGTAAACAAACTTTCTAAGGCCCTTTACACGCGAACCAAAGTACTCTAACGCAAACCAATACCACTTTCGGAAAGGTGATAGTTGCCCCTATCCGATGATGTTGTTGGTTTGCGTGGGCGTACTTTGGTTCGCGTGTAAAGGGCCTTAGAAAGTTTGTTTACAAATGCTTTTGTGCCGTTATCAAATGTTATGCCTGATATCATGTTTTATCAACTTCTTCAGGAGCGATTTATGCGGTTGTAATATAGTTTTATGGTAGTCATTAGAAGGCTGTTAAAACTTTCTGACCTCGAGGAGGTTTTATGTTTTCATTTTTAACAATCACGTCTAGAGTGTGATAAAACTGACATAAATCCTATGCTCCTAAAGTAGTTCGCATTTCAAGTTTTAATGACTGCATTAAAACTGGGCCAATTGGCCATGACATGGCTGTATTGCGGTTCTCAGGAGATTGTTAAAGCAATGTGGTCGTCAGTGAAGGTTTTATAATTTGGTTATATCAACTGCTATAAAACTTAAATAAAACAAAAATTGTTGCTTGGGATGTTTCATTCAAATTGGAAACACTAATGTCCACCCGGTTTGCGTTTTGGGTCTGAAATGCTCTATGGTAGTGATATTCAACACGCGGCATACTTTTATGCGGCCCAGGGTGGCCAGATTATTATTTTTATCATCGGTAGCTTCTCAAAATTTTTATCGGTAGTTATCGGTAGGCCGTCTTAAGAAGGCTTCCCGAAACTTAAAACCTCTGTGAGCGGGGAAAGTATGAAAACAAATCACGCACAATTTTGAACTCTCGAACCGAACCATCAGTCCTTCAACCTCACACATTAGATAGTCTAATCTAGAGTCGGTGAATAATGAGTCACGCCAAGAGTGAAGCCAAGTCTACCTATTGAACTGTCGATTCTATGAAAAGTCCACGAAACACAGAAAAAAAAAAATAATTTGTATATCACATCAAAGTGGATGCATTTCAATCATGTCAAAAATATGTTGTAATATTAACATATTAACATTAACAAAATTATCATTAATACATCGCATGAACATTGCTTTTACTGCATTTGTTTATTTTTGTGGCCATAAAAATTACATGAGATTTTCGACATGATTGAAGTGCATCCTCTTGGATGCTATATTAAAATGTATTTTTTGCTGTG